CTCAGGAAGGATAAGAACATAAGAGACGCCAATGTTGGATCAGGCCAAAGGCCCATCCAGCCCAACACTCTGTATCACACAGTGGCCAGAAATACCAGTGCCATCAGAAGGTCCACCAGTGGGGCCAGGACATTAGAAGCCCTCCCACTGTTGACCCCCCCCCAAGCACCAAGAAGACAGAGCATCACTTGCCCCAGAGCCCCTATCTATACCTTGTGGCTTATAGCCACTGATGGACCTCTGCTCCATATGCTTATCCAATCCCCTCTTGAAGCCGTCCATGCTTGTAGCTGCCACCACTTCCTGTGGCAGTGAATTCCATGTGTTAATCACTCTTTGGGTGAAGAAGTACTTCCTTTTATCCGTTCTAACCCGACCGCTCAGCAATTTCATGGAGTGCCCACAAGTTCTTGTATTGTGAGAAACTCCTGAATATTTTTTTTGGGAGGGCGAGGGGGAGCCCGAAGAAGATATATTGCCATAGAGTCTACCCTTCAAAGCAGCTGTTTTCTCCAGGAGGCAGATATCTGTCATCTGGACATCACTTCAAATTCCAGGAGATCTCCAGGCCCCACATGGAGGTTGGCAACCCTACCTGTACCTCCCTCAAGCATTTCGTTTCCCTCCTTCTGATAGCCTCTTTATACTCAACCTTTCCCTGCTTTCCTCTCCTTCCCACCCACCCCAACGTATCTCTTTTATCTGCCCCCCATCTTCAGCTACAGTAATTACTTAATTTATACCCTGCCTTTCTCCACAATGGAGACCCAAAGCAGCCTCCTACATCTTTCTCATCCCTTCCTTTTTTATTCTCACAACTACCCTGTGAAGTAAGTTAGGTTGAAAATGTGTAACTTGCTCAAGACCATCCAGTGAACTTCTATGGCAGAGTAGCAATTCCAACCAGGATCACCCAGATCCTAGTCTGAAACTCTAACACTACAACACCACACTGGCTTTTTTTTGGGGGGGGAGGCTACCATTGAACAGTAGCAAGCAGCCAGAGCTAGGTAAGTCATGCAAGCAGCCCAGTGGTTGCTGCTGGGCCTGGCCTCAATAAGTCCTCCCTCAAAGGATTTTAGAGCCCTGGAAAGAACCTTGACCCCTCCCCCATGCCTTTTAGTTACAGAGACCAAGGCTTGAAGGCTGGCAATACTGTGCAGTTGCCTAGCAATGGTCACTGAAGGCATTCATTTCTTAAAGCTACAGGCACTGTTTCTATTATTGGGAGGGGGGTAAACCCCAGTGTATTTAAATTTAAGGGTGGTTGGGGTTTTTTTTTTGGAAACCTGGTGTATTTTTCAGGTTTATAGAAAGATAAATCTTGTTTGTTCATAGCTCCAATCTCCTGCTCTAGGTATCCACAAACTTGGTCATATTGAGAATTAGATATATTGAGGATTCCTTTTCACTGCCATCAGTAAATTAAAAATTAGAGATAGACTTGCTTAGTCATATGGACCTAGACTATTTTTGTCTTGTAAAAAGTATTTTCTTCAAATTAAGAACTGGACTCCTGCTCCAAATTACATGGATGTAATGGAAACCTTTGAAATCTAATTCCTTAGGGTAATTCATCTCCAGGAAGGCATCTTCTTCCTTTCTCTTTCAAACTTTGTATGTGTGGGCCAAGTTAGGCTTTTAAGGGAGTGCAGGAAGACTACACACACACCATTTACAGAAAAGAGGGGGGAAATTACTTGTATTTGCAGTCATTAATTGCAAAACGGAAGAAATTTGAGGAAAAAATTGTCTAACAATCACTGATCAAAGAGAAAATAAATTTACCAATAGTGGCAACCCCTCTCCCTGTGTCTAAAACACATCCCTTTGTGATGGTGAATTAAGAGGTAGGCCTTTTTACTGTTACAGGCCATGTTTTGTAGCCATGCAAATGTCCAAATTGTCTCTCTTTTGTAGCCATGGCTGACCTTTCATTGGAGTAATTTCCCATTATCAACTCTAAATTCAATGCTCATCCCTCCAAGAAAAAAACAACCACCACCTGACAGTCTTCCCCAAATCTCTCCAACTAAAGACTAAGTTCTTCCTTTAAATGTTTGTAGACCCATCCCCTTTATCCATTGGAAAATTAGTAGTTTCCAACAACTTCCCTGATTTCTCACTGATTATATCCAGGCTCTGCTGGCACGAGGGAAGTGATTATGCTCTGTTGGCTACATTTCAAATGAATCAGTATCCTGCTTGCCTGGCAGATGAAAGGCTAGTTAGAAAAATTTGATCTACAAACTTTTGCCTACCTGGAATAGTAGCTTTATTTTAAATGGTCACCAACACAAAGTTGTAATTTGTTTTTACATAGTTCCCGGAATTTTACCACATACTCAAACAACACAATGTGCTCACAACTTTGACTCTCGTGTATCTGAATAGGAAGGTAAAGTATTCAGAAGCTGCATTAGTTGCTTGGGAGACAAGAGATAGGTGGAAGTATAACCTGGGGTTCCTGGGTAGAAAATGTACTCTGCCAAGAATCACTGAGGAAATTCAATGGAGAGTGGAAATTACAAATTTAATTAACCGTCTGAGTCCATAAAAACTGCAAAAGTAAGCAATCCATAGAACTTTAAATTTATATAAATTGAACTAGCCCATTATGTATTAAACTGCCTTTATGATAAAAAGCATTATAGTGACTCCTGAAGGAGACCAGAAAGACAAAAGTACAACTGATATTTTTCGCTCTTATTCTCAGACTGTGTGTTATGATAATTAACACTATTGTACACATTACTGGTTTTAAATTTTGTAATCTGTGATTTTGGGTTTTTCTGTAATCTTGAGTTTAATCTTAAATTTCAGCAAGAACGGCAGACTATAAATGAAGTGAACAAAATCTGTGGATCCAGGCAGCTGAAATGGAAAAGTTTCAGATCCAGATGGTATAACAATCAGTCACATAGCCACTGGAGGATTTATGCTTGCAGGATGCAGGATTCAATCAAAAGGAAAACTGAGTACCCATCACCTGGATATGGTCTCCCAATAGGATCCACTTCCACCTCACAGCTGAAAATTCCAGAACATGACTCTTTTTATAGTGGCATGAGAAACAGGAAAAATCAGTTTCTGTGTCAGCCACTATATAGTGGTGGCTCCTGTTTGGGAACAAAGCATCCTGAGAGGGAACAAAATACCTCCCTCTGGTTGATGCAGGGCTTGATCACAGTAATTTCACATTTCCCAGGTGCTTCTAGATATCCACTGAAAGCTCCTCCCTGACCCGTTTCCAGAGTACAATACACATATATAGATTCAGCCCACTCACTAGAACCCATGAAACATGGCACACACAAAGTCTAATAACAGTCTGGTTTAATCACTGATCTAAGAAGGAAAGCAACATTCTTTTGTAAAACTGCCTACTCAAATGAGCTTTCCCAAATCCCACTCTGAATCAACTCAAGCTAATTGCCTCTTGCTCTTGCCACTCTCCCTCTCAAATTAAAAAAAGTCTTCATTCATGACAGTGAAACTATTCACAGCACTACTAAGCCAATAGCTGGTACGCCATCAAAGGTTCAGTCCATCAGACAGATCAAGAAGGCGAGCTATGTTTGTCTGTCTGTAGCAGCAGAGAAGAGCAAGAGTCCAGTAGTACCTTAAAGACTAACAAAATTTGTGGCTGGGTATGAGCTTTCGTGAGTCACTGCTCACCTTTTCAGGTATCTGAAAAAATGAGGAGTGACTCACAAAAGCTCATACCCGACCACAAATTTTGTTAGTTTTTAAGGTGCTACTGGACTCTTGCTCCAGTCCATCAGATAGTTCTGCAGTGCAGGCAAAGGACTATGCATAACTCACGCACACTTTCAGACATATTGGTAAGGTGGGTTTGTATAGCTCCAAGCCACAGTCAAAAAAGTAATTAATGGTTTCTATCTAATGATATCACCTTGTTCAAGTTGAATATTTGCGATGGAATTTCCAGTGGCAGTTAAGACTGCACATCATGCTGCAATATGAAACACTAATGAACACCCACTAAGTTCAGTTGGACTTGCTTCCCAGGCCCATTAAAATCAATGGGACTTAAGCATGTGTCCTTTGTCTAGATTACTCTGCAGTAACCATTTCGGTCCTGTGGCATCTAAAGCTGGATTCTGGGGCATGTTACTGACATCAGTCAGATAGGAATGTGGCCTTAGCCGGCAGAGATCCAAAAGCAAGTAGATGTAGACCATACAGACACACAATTTAGATTTCAGCTTTTTGCAGAACACAGGACTCCTGTTTCATTTATTTTTATTTAATTAAAAAAATCAAAGGAATTGCAATACCATTTAAATACATAGATTTACAAATATGTCCAAAACAGGACTAAAATATTCTTTGAATATTGTGCTTTCATAGATACATAAGAAAATCAGCATATAAAAATACTTTACAAGGAATACACTCTAATATATAGATAAAAATACACATTTAAGTAATGCATTTCATTTTCATATCATTCAAAATGCATAGGAAGGGATACAAGGACCAATTTTTTTTAAAGCCTTATTAAAAGTCTTCATTAAAAACCTATTTGAAGCCATGTTTGAGCTTCTGCCGTTTTGAGAATATTGCATATAAAACCCCCTTTTCTGCTCAACTGCCAATGCTCTGCAGTTTTCTTTTTATGGCACATTATCTAGGTTATGGCAGCAATGGTATGGAATATTGCATACTTTGCAAAGAGAGAATGGCTACATCTAGAGACAGCCCATTGGGACTCCATGCACATCTTAAGGGATCACAGATACTTTATAATGGCCCAAGAAGTGGAAGGGGGAGGGAAGTAGACACAGTCACAGCTTGGCCTGGGAACTGCTCCTGGCCTAGCCTTGACTGAGCAGAGAAGGTTTCCAACCTGTACCAAAACATGGCTCCTTAAGATGCATCACACTGTACAAAAAAGAAAAAAACCCACACTGAATACAAAGGAACAGAGGCCAGTTCCTCAGATCAAGGACTTACTCAAATTCTTAAGCAGGGTCCATCAGATATCACTACAATAAAGTGCTACTCCAAAAACCCTGGCACAGGCCATTGTACTGGCCAAAAAAAGACTTGCAAGACCCGGCAATGTTCTGCCGTGATGCAAGACATAAAAGGAAGGGATCACGTCCTTGGTTGCATTTGAACCCTTTTGATGCAGGCAGATCATTCAACCGCATGTGAGTATCACACCCATTTATCACTACACAGGGATATGGCTGGAGGAGGAAGATGCAGGGTGTGGGGCACAGGGTCACAAAGGCATCGTGCTGACAGGCCACAGAGAAGGTAACAATTGAAAACTTAGGGCTGCTGCTAGAAGTGGCCACAACAGCGTCAGACCTCATCATCATGTGATAAAAACTTGTACTTCCACTAAGATGACCCACAGAGGGCGCACTGGGGGGGACACAATATCAATCTAGCACAGGATGTCTCTCATGCCAACAGGGACAAGGGGATACAAGGCTTACTTATGCCCGATCATAAAGAATGGATTAGGGGCACACTGAGGAAACAGCTCACTGGTACCCGGTGTGTGCCCAAGAAGACCTGGCGGTTCAGGAACGCTATCCACCTATATGTTGTGTTCTACATTAAGTGCCTTCTTAAAAGATGCAGTAAATAAACTGTTTCCTTAGTCAAACAGTGGGGAAGGTGCTTCAGTTGTGTCCCAACAAGCAAGTGCGTGTGGTGGAGGGAGAGATTTCTAACTGTCTGAACTCTGACAATGGGCTCATGTTTATTAACAACAACAACAACAAAAACCCTAACAAGTGAGATTTGCTCTTGGTTTTAAGGGAAATTCAATGTGGCACAGTGAGAAAGTGATGGTGAAAGAGTGAATTTGGAGAAGGGATTCAAGGTTCTTGCAATTGTTTAAGAAAAGGCCATAGGATAGTGCGGGGGGGGGTCTTTCACAGAAACAAGGGGGTTCTTTAAAAATTCTACTGTACATGATTCAACAAAGCAAACGACAACAACAAAAATAGCACCATGTGTCTAAGCCCTTCAGATTGGGGCAAAGAGATGGCCCATTCCCTATTAGCCCATGCACTGGAGAAGCTCAGGCAGACCATGAGTGATGGACTGGAGAAAGATGTTCTCCTGACAGGTGAGATGCACTGGATGCTGCTTTCTGCGGCCAACAACACATTCCATCATTTGCATCAGCCAAAGGCAAAGTTCTTCATTGGAACATCAAGGCCAGGCCTGATAGGCTTCAAGACATGGCTAACTGGAGACCCACTTCATCATGGCAAGTTACGCTACAAAGAGTAACCACAAACACTAGTGCAAAAGAAAAACAGAAAACTGGGGGGGAAACACCCACGAGAGACATCCAGAAGCTCTTTTGCAGAGCCTCAAGGACAGCTGACAACAACAAGGCCTCCATTCAGAGTGTCTGCATGTTGGCCTTGACCTCCACGCCAACAGATGACTGGCCAGACAGATTTCCATGGTCATCTAACCGGGCATTGGCAGCAAAGGCTAGGGGGTTTCGGCTGATTACTAGGTCCAGTTTGTCTCCTGCCTCGGATATCAGAGGAACAGCCAAACAGCAATCAAAGTCTCTCGTTCGGATGCGATTGACCTGAAGGGATGGGATGAAAAATTTATTTTGTGGGAGGCAGAGTCAACTGAAACTAATGAATGGTGCCAATTTCCTTTACAGTCTTGGAAAGCCAGACAAAACATACCCTCTGTCATAGACTGCAATACTGGATCATATTACATGACACCATACAAACACATACAGTCATGCATTGCATATCTGTTACATTTGTTTTGGCTTTTGCATGTCATAATTAAGTGTGAAATACTGCATTCTTTGAAACCATTTCTCTTTTTCTTACAAGCAATAAATCTGCAGCCAAACCATTTACCCTAAATTGGTTATAATTCCGCTAGTCTGCCAGGAAGCCATTCAAATTTCTCAAGAATTTTTTTTTTTTGGGGGGGGGGGGGAACAGACTCATTCCTTGGCTAGTCATTTGCATTTCTTATTAGATGTTTTTCATTCTATTGATTGGTCTGATCTACGCTGTGTAATCCACCTTGAGGCTCAGTGAGAAAGGTGCTCTGTAAAATAAATAAATCCTTGCTGTAGGATAAATAGTGCAGAGTAGGTGAAGGAGGCCATCTCAATGAGCAGGTTAGATCACAGTTCAGTTCAGAATAAGATGATACGCAAAAGTAATGCTCTGATGTAGCAACACCTGGAGATTGCTTTGTCTATTTCACTGTCCAACCCCCCCAAGCAAGATAACTTCAGAACAGTCCCTTTATTTTTGCAGGATGTAAAAAACAAAGAGGAAGAACAGAATCAAGTCAGAAGCCTCCCATATTCTCTTTTTTGGGTTGTTTCCAACCCCACTTCCATGAAGAATCGAATGCTATTATAATGCTAGTTCTTCTGTACCTGGATCAGGATTAGTACTTGCTTAATCCAAACAAATTCATTTCCCCTTATCGTTTGGAAATGCGTGAACAATTGCTCACAGCTCAAAAGATTCTCCTACATTATCAAGCAATCACTGCTTGAACAGAAGCCATGCAATGGTCATTAAATCAGCTTTAAGTGCTGCAAGAAAAGTGGTATATACATATTTCAACTAAATAACTAAACTACAATTAGGGGTATCCCAAATGCTTCTCTCTTGGCTCCCCCTTGGATGTTGTATTCATTCGGGAGATAGCGATGCTTGCACAGGCTGTGACAATGCCAGCATTCAGCAGAAATGTGGCTGACAGCCTAATTATTTTTTTTGGGGGGGGGGGTCCCTTTCTTTTTGCTGGCCTTTGATTTGAGTCTGAGAAAGAGTGAGTGCCCAGCAGGTCAGCTGGCTATGAACTGAAACAAGCACAAACAAGGCTCCCAAGCTTATTGCCAGACTTTCAGCTGCAGACCCTACATGTGTGGATTGTGGCAATAAAGCCAATAAGGCTCCATAAATGCCGAAAAGCAAAGAGGAGGAATCGAAGGGGAATTTCAAAACTTCTGTCTCACATAATGAAAATGATTGCTATATGGGAGCAGGAGGGTTGGATTTTTCACCTGTGAAACTTTAGAATTGAGAATAGGTGCCAAAGGCTACAGCTGAAGGTACCAATCGGGGGTGTCAGTGTGGGGTCTTATACACCCTCCCATGCCCTTAAACCCTTGACAGCTGAATACATTGGGCTGAATCAAACACCATGTTTCTGTAGGAATAAGCCTGCCTTTGTCATCCCCACTCCTCCTACAGCACAGCCACAAGAAATTCCCCCTTGAAATTCTGCTCCTGGAGGACAGGGGACCCCCTGTAACAGGATTTGGGGGGGCATTTTGGGCTGCTTCAGGAGGGGAGAGATGAGAAAGTTGCAGTCCGTGGGTAGAAGTCCTTGAGCCCATGGAAATGTGGCACTGGATCTATCCCATTGCCTTGGGATATTGCCATAGCATAATCAAAAGACAGCTCACCCAAGTATTGTATTGTTGGCAAATAATGCACAGTACTATTCGTTGCTAAAACACATCCATTCCAGTTACTTAAAACCCTTCCCATCCCTTGTATCAATTACCTGAAGGACTCTGTCGTAAGGCTTGAGGCCACACTGGTCAGCTGGCCCTTCTGGACGGATCATGTTAACATAGACACCTTTTTCTAGCAAGCCATCTGAGACACTGAATCCAAAGTCTTCAGTCTCTGGATCCTTGTAGAGAGTCATCTACAAGAAAAGACAAGTTTGATGTATTGCAACCAACAGAAATAAAGGGGAAAATATGACATGAACCTTTGTGCAAGGCTGGTAAGATGAACCATGAGATAATGCTAAGGCTCTCATTGTGAAGTTTTTTATTGTCTTTGGGCAAAATGCTAATCTGAGGGGGGAAATCCCATGTGGAACAGTGACTAAAGTGTCAGATGAGGACTAAGGGGAAAGCTATATCATTCTTTTAAGCTCACCAGGCCCAGTTTTCCTATATCTATTAACATACTAAAGTGATCCCAAGACAGTTTTCTTTTTCCTTCCTGGTGATCACATGGCAGTTATTCTTTACGAATGTGTTCTCACAGGTGTTCTTTCTGGCAAAAGTCTGAACTTGAATAGGCCCCCTAAAGGTTAATAACAAATGCTGCCAACTGGGAACACATTCATATGTGCTATGAAATGAAGATTAAAATTAAAAGTGTGACTATGGTAACCAGACATTAAGCCATGTATGCCCGTAAGCATGGATTCCCTAGCTAGCTGCACACATACAAAAAAATAAATAAATCCAGTTCTTCAAAATCATGAGCACATGAACACATGAATCTGCATTATACTGAATCAGAACCCCCTTGGTCCCTCAAGGTCAGTGTTGTCTACTCAGACTGGCAGCTGCTCTCCAGAGTCTTAGGCAGAGAAGAAGAAGAAAAGTTGGTTTTATACTCCTCTCTTCACTACATGAAGGAGACTCAGAGAGGCTTACAATTGGTTTCCCTTTCTCTCCCCACAAGAGACACCCTCTGAGGTAGATGGGGCTGAGAGGGTTCTGAAAGAACTATGACTGGCCCAAGGTCACCCAGCTGGCTTCAAGTGGAGAAGTGGAGAATCAAACCTGGTTCTCCAGATCAGAGCCTACCGTTCTTAACCACCAGAGGTCTTTCACCTCCTGCCTGGTCCTTATAACTGGAGATGCCGGGGACTGAACCTGGGACCTTCTGCATGCAAAGCAGAGACTCTTCCACTGAGCCACAGCCCTTTGTATTAAGGTAGCATTTTTAGTCAACAAGTTTACAATTAATCTTCTCTTCAAAAATATTGTGAAAGCAGGTCTCTAATCTTAAAGAAACTCTCAGAGACTACCATAACACATTCCAGAACAAACACTCTGCTGAATGCCTTCAGCTCTGTTTGAGATTTCTGTTTGTTTTCCAATTTCTGTAGTACAAACCCTATTTATTGTTCACTGGATGTCCCATCCTGTTGATTGTACTTGATTTACACTATGTAATCCGCCTTGAGTCTCAAAAGGTAGGCTATAAATAAGCTAATAATATTAATAATAATGGCTTATTTTTAACAAAACATCCATAGTATTTATTTATTTTTATTTATTTATTAGATTTGCTAGGCTGCCCTTCCCTACAAGTAGGGCTCAGGGCAGCTTACAACAAAATGACAATAAATAAACAACATTAAAACCATTAAAACAGAGCAATAAATAGAGACAGAAAAACATATACCAGATGGCTGAAAATCAGCTCCCCCAACCTCCTTGTGGGGAGGGGTTGCGAGGGATGGGGAGGTGTATGAGAGTGCTAGATGTCGTGTTCCCCCCCCCCCCGTTGCTGTCCTCAACCAAATGCGTGGCAGAACATCTCTGCCTTACATGCCCTGAGAAAAGGTAATAACTCCTTCAGGGCACGGCTGTCTTCTGGCAGAGAGCTCCACCAGGTGGGTGCCAGGGCCGTAAAAGCCCTGGCCCTGGTTGTGGACAGCCAGATTTCCCGCAGGCCAGGGACCACCAGAAAGTTCTTATTTCCTGAGCGCAGTGCTCTTCCAGGGATTGTATGCATGCAAGCAGTGGGCCTAGAACTTGGGGGCATCCAACTGAATTGATGGCCAATAGATACAGGACAGCCGATTGCCATGAGCATAGATGGCCTCACGAGGGGATTAAACAGATTCATGGAGGAAGGGTCATCAAAGGCTACTAGGTGTGCTCAGTTATGGGAACCTCTATATTCAGAGGCAGTAAACCTCTGAAACCCAGTGCTAGGAGACAACATCAAGGGAAAGCCTTAGCCTTTGTGTTGGTGGCTACTGTGTGGTTGGCTACTGTGTGAAACAGAATGTTGGGCTAGGTGGATGACTAGTCTGACCCAACAGAGCTCTCATGAAGTTTGATGTAGTGGTTAGGAGCATGGACTCTAATCTGGGAGAACCAGGTCTGATTCCCCACTTCTCCACATGATCTTGGTCAGTTACAAGTTGTTTCAGAGCTGTTCTCTCAGGAGCAGTTCTCGAAAGAGCTCTCTCAGCCCCACCTACCTCACAGGGTGTCTGTTGTGGGGAGGGGAGGGGAAGGGAAAGGAGATCGTAAGCTGCTCTGAGACTCCTGCAGGTAGTGAAGAGCGGGGTATAAATCCAATCTCTTCTCTTCTTCATGAAGTTCTTTTAACCTCCAAACACTTTGTTGGACAGGCTAGTGCTCTAGTAAGCATTCCTCTGTACATGGGATACTGGATTACATATCACTTTACTCTTAGTCGCAATTAAATATTCTTCATAACTTTATCACCTCTGTATTTGTATTAAATCAAGCATCTCAGCAAGCAGCTGCTGTTAGCCATCTGAGAATGAATTAAATTTGGAATAAAAACCACTTTCTCAGGTTAGAAACACCTACAGCCTATAATGGAACCCTTTCCTAACACACACCTTGTGCAGTTCAAGAGGAGTGGGAGACATGATTTCCTGAATCTCTTCCTTCATCATCTTGATTTCCATATTCCTCTCATTTTTCTTGGTGGGAGTGACATTGCTGTGGCCCTGCCCTTCACCTGAGCTCTTGGAGTTCCCTTTCCTTGATGGGCTCAATCCTGGCTGGTTAACAGAGTTCATGAGCAACTTGCCCCCATCAAGACCCAGATTATGTACACTCCCAGTCATGATGGATGCCTGCAGGAAACACAAAATAAAGTCAAACCAGCAACGTGAGCCTTGCGCAGAAGCAAAGCTTGTGCAGTCCAGCTTTAGGAGGAGGCAGTATTTTCCAAGCAGGCTTCAGATCTCCTGCCATGCAGCAGTCAGCATGCTTAACGGATGATGAATATTGCATCCCTCTTACTACCAGCTGCCCCCTGTAACTTCCTAGAAGTTGGAACGACCAACGGAAGGTTAGAAAGGGAACTGTCAATACACCTGTTTATTGCAAATGCTGACTTGCAGTTTGGACTTGGAGTTGATGTTGCAAAATTGTATCTGGGTAGATGAGAAATGTTAGCCCGCACAAGGATTTACTACACCTTCCTCTCCCCCCACCCCCCAAAAGTGACACACTATGTCTTTTGCAAATGCAGCCTCTGGGATTGTCAGATCAAGGAGAATGGTGTGGGAGGAGCGGGAGACTTCATTCCTTTCTCTTCCTCTGTTGCTTTTTTTACCAGAAAAAGTCACATCTAAGGCGCTTTTATTCTCATGGGAAAGACTTATGGGTGTGCATGTGTTAAGTGTCATCAAGTTGTTTCTGACTTATGGCAACCCCATGAGTTAACGCCCTCCAAAATGTTCTGTTGTTAACAGCCTTGCTCAGGTCTTGCGGACTGAGGGCCCTTGTGGCTTCCTTGACTGAGTCACTCCATCTCATGTTGGGTCTTCCCTCTTGTAGTGTATTCAAAGCTGCCTTGAATGCATGATATGTTGTGAAACATCTAACTGAAGTGTAATGTAAAGCTTCGTCCTGGGCTAGGATCCAAATCCATCCAATCGTGTTACTAGCCCAGGAAGCACCTAACCAATCACCTTCTAGCAAGCTCCCTGAGTGGGAACATCCATTATTGGTCCTTATATGAACAACCTTATTGGTTGGTACTTGTACAGTGGGTGTGGCTACATTAGCCGGGAATGTTTAAAAGCAGGACAGCTGCAATGTGAAAGCTGTTCTGGCTATCAGATGTTGATCCGTGTTGGAGTTGTGTTCGAGTTGAAGAATAAAGTTGTGTTCTTGCTGAATCACTCTCCGACTGCTTTGTTAAGTGAGTGACTTAACACCTCTTTTCCTGCTGCCCTCAACTCTTCCTAGCATTTAGTGTCCTTTCAAGTGACAAACCTCTGGGTACCTGTATCCTTTAACCAGCAGGAGTAAAAACAACTAATGGATGGGTTTCTCCGGTGGAAAAAAAAATGGCAGGGGAAGAAAGAGTTAATTTTCCACCCTCCAGGCCCCTTTACTGTTCTCCTCTACTGCCTTTGGCAAAGTTGAGGCATTTGCCAACATGCCCATCAGGGTGGCTCTACCATCGGAAATGTAAGCAGACTCCTCTGGCCTGCAAGAGGCTTAAACTGGGATTGCATGCATGCAAGCCAACACCGGTTCCTGGAAGACGGGATTTACTGGGGACAGAGGCTGACTTGAGAGCAGTGGGCCTGGTTTGCCAATGTGCTCATTTTTGCACCCTCGTGCTGTCTGCTCAACTTGGATATAAGTCTTCCCTCCACAGAAAAATGATACATGGGGTTGGATGTAATGAGCCACAAGCTTTTATGCCGCGGGATTTCCCCACCTCTGCCCTTCCTGCTGCAGGCCCCGTGATCAGCTGCTCCTGAGGGCCAGGGGCCTCCTTGGAAAAGCATGGAGCAAAGGCTGCAGCTCCGGGGCAAACCGTAGAACTGCCCCCTGGCACCCGCTTGCCCAAGAGCAAGCTCAGAGACTGGAAGAGCAGCCCTAACACTCTTAAATACTCAAGAAAAGGAAAGAATTTGAGAGGATCTGTCCACCCCACCATTGCCCTCGGTCCCACTCCCAACTGGAGAGATTCACCTCAAAACACACAAAGGGGCAGAGAACATATTAGAAGCAGCCGCAGCCATTGAGTTTTCAAGTGCTTTCAAGGGCTACATTTACCTCAATCTCCCTCAAAAGTTCAGACTGGCCACATGTTTCCAAGTCTTCCAAAGCTTCTCCAAAAACACGCCAAAAATTATCCTCGTGTGCAGTCTCAAGGCCATTTTGGCGGTTGGGATATCTGTTGTAACGTAGGAACCAAAGATTGTCAGCACTCTTCTGCAGCAGGATGGAAGCCGCAAGGCTACAGCAAGTGGCTCGCCAGTAAAAGCAGAGACTTGGCAGAGTCTTCATATACAAAAGCAAACAATGTGAACTTTTTCAGGCAAGAGAGTCCAAATACAAAACCTCCATGCACTTTTACTAACAGGGCAAAAGTCCTTCAAAAGGAAGAATTAAACTGGTGTAGTAAATGTCAAGTTCAAAAGGGTAAATAAAAAAGTGCCTGTAGGAAGATTGTAGGTTTAGGAAGACGTTTTGGTGAAATAGAGAAAAGAAAAAAAAAGGATGCATTATGGGTAAACCAGGAGCCTCAGAGACTGTTAGTACAAAGGCGGATGGGACAGAGTTCAGATCTGAGACACAGAACACCTGAGAAAAGAGAGAAAAACACAGAGGGTAACAGACATGGTGAGAAAATGATAAATACATCAGGTCTCTGCGGGAGTAAATGTAAAAAAGATGTATATAAAATGATTTTCCCTAGACTCCACCATCAATTTAACATTGTACATGATCATACACAGACGACTTAACAAGACCTGTGGGCTGCCCAGACATGTTTCTCCTTCATCATCTAATCTCTAATTTTTCTTGGGTCAACAGTTATATTTTTGATACATCTATTGCCCTTTCCCCTTATATGATGTAGGAAAACATCTCTCTCTGCACAGAAAGAGATTCAGGCTTGGCCAGTCACCACCTCCCCACCAGTTACCACCTCCCCCCATGTTGGAAACCAGCGCTTCAAAAGTTGGTCCAGTGTTTCATCTATGTAATTTGAACACGCAACTGAATCTATAATGGGGAAGCAAGTTTTGCCCCCACCTCAGTTGTGTCCCTGAGTGCACCCCTTTACTTAACTTCCATTTAAGTGAATGGATGCCATTCACTCTTGTGAGGAAAAGTCAAGCACTGCATTTGTAGACACTAGCAGGGAGGAGAAAGCCTTCCTTTCCCCCTGAATGCTGGGAGGACTGGCCCTCACAGACAGTGAAACCAGCGTTGTGAACTGTGTCCCTACAGACATATCCATGACTAGTATTGTGCAAGTTCATTATTATTTATCAAGGCTTACAAAACACTAGGCACAGAATAGCAACACTGGCTTCCCAGGCACGTGGAAAAGCCGCTACACTGGATGATATGGCATCTGGCATCACTCCTTTGCACACTAAAGGGAAAACAAGGGATTAAAGGTGAACCAAAGTCATATGAAATGGTTTTGGAAATTCATGCCAAGGAGATGATTACTGTTTTAATGGGTCAACACTACAGAGAACTGTGACACAAACACAGGGGATGTTGAGTTGAGGTCTGTGTGTTTTAAGCAAGTCCCTTTTGTTGGTTAGCTTTCCTTTTTGTTCTCCCATCCAAATTCTCCCTGGGCATCATTCTCCGGATGGCTGCAGTACTGAGACAGAACCATTAAGACATAAGCAAACCACTGAGTTAAGGAAGTCGCATGAAGACTGGTAGTCCCTAGCATGCAATCTGGGAGGCTAGTGAGGACAGTCTTGGCAGCAAATCCTAGGCAAAAGGTTGTTGCACAAAACCTAGTGCAGGTGTTACTGTTTTGCATTTTAACACATAGCTTGGCAGGAATCCATCATTTGGATTCACACTGGTCAGGTGGTGGACAATTGTAATATTGGCAAAAATGAAAGGTAGCCATGATTAGGATAGCAGCAACCTAATATCTTTATCCAGACTGACTTCAGTCATAAAGAACTGACAAAGCTACTCTGAAGAGTTCTGATTAACTCAAAAGATTTTTACACACTTGGGATGTATGCTTACATGTAAGAACTCACAGTCATTTGTATGCCTCATGCTGAATCACACAAGTGCACTACACTACACATACACATGACTGTGGCTTATTACATGTAAGTGTACGTCCCAAGTAACATTCACATCTGGTCATTAACATATTTAGCAAAAAAGATTACCTTTTAATCGAGATCAATGTGAGCCACGAATTAAAAAGGTAACTTTTCTCCAATTAATTGACCTCTGTTATTAAAAGGGTACCCCCAAGCTAATTAAACCAGTATCTGGATAATCAAAAGGCCAAAAACTGGCAACAAAATGTTAATGGCATTTTAGCTAATTTAAAAATCAACATATAAGAAGACAGACCAAGGCCTGCCCAATAAAATGAAAATTGTGGAAATCTGTTTTCTTCAATTTGCAGGTCCAATTCATTTTTCAAAACACTTGTTGATAGGGTTGCCAGGCCCCCAGTCCAGGTGGGGGTTCCCCTGCTTTTGTGGGGCCCTTTCTGCCAGCAGCAGGGGAACCCCCCACCTGCAAATGCCCCTGAACGTGACATAATGATGTCATTGCTGGCATCAGGTGGGTGATGCTGTAGTTTTTGAGCAAAACTCTATGGTAAAATTGGGCTCAAACCATACAGTTTTGCTCAAAAACTAGAGTGTCACCCCCGAATGTTGGCAACACGATATCACTTCTGGGTGATGTTATCATGGCATGCGCACAAAGCATGCGTGCCAGAAGATCCTAGAAGGGACCCAGGAGCCCCCCCGCCAGGAGCCAGGTAGGACCTGGCAACCTTACTTGTTGAAGCATTATTCTGTTTGGTTAAGTCTAGACAGATCTGAACGTTTTCAGAACAAATCCGCTGTATCACTGGTTAAACTGGTATCTGTCAACATCACTATTTGGGGACAGAAACATTCAATTAATGTTTTTACCTATTTCAGATCGAAAGACTCAATAAAACCATTTAGAGGGTAGCCGTGTTGATCTGCAGTGGAAGAGCTAGTTCGGAGTCCAGTAGCATTGGTGACCAATAAAATTTTCAGGATATGACCTTTTGAGAGTCAAAGCTCCCTTATCTGAAAAAGGGAGCTTTGAATTTCGAATGCTCATATCCTGAAAATCTTGTTGGTCTCTAAGGTGCTACTGGACTCGAATCTAGCTCTTATAATAAAACCAATTTGCCATTCCGTGACAAAAAGGTCAAGATGGGTAGCCATGGCCCCGGCCACATGGGCCGGATATCACGGGGGGGGGGTAATTGCCCCGGAGGAAAATAATGCGCGGCAGCCCGATCAGAAGTCCTTTCGAGGTCCCGTGGGTAGGCGTCAGGTGCAGATCAGACGGCTAGTCTGCAGTGCAGCAAAGAAGCAGCACGGCATGTTCAAACCGGCACTCACGTCACGCTGCTCCTGTGGCAAACGCCGCTTCCTGTTTGTGCGCATGCGCCGTTGGGCGCTTTACCGCATCCTGCAGAGACTTGGGGGGGGGGAATCCCCTTGGTCGCGACGGAACATCGGCAGCCGCCGGATGCCACGACAGTCCACCGGGAACGTGATCAGACGCCTGCCCTTGCCCCGCGGTTTCCGGAAACTAGTACCTCATAGGTACTAGTTTTTAACCCCGCACCTTCGGCGGGGAGCCACGGGTTCGCCACGGGAGCACTGCGCTTCCCAGATGTTGGGGTGTGATCGCGCCCGGAAAATCCGCGGGACTCCCATGCCTCTCCCGCGGCAACTTTGCCGTGTGACCGGGCCCATGTTAGTCTGTCTGTAGCAGGTAGAAAAGAGCAAGAGTCCAGCAGCACCTTAAAGACTAACAAAATTTGTGGCAGGGTATGAACTTCTGTGAGTCACAGCTCACTTCTGTATCTGAAGAGGTGAGCAGTGACTCATGAAAGCGCATACCCTGCCACAAATTTTGTTAGTCTTTAAGGTGCTGCTTGACTCTTGCTCTTTTCTAGTGGCAAAAGGGTTATTTATCAAGCAGTGAAGCTTTCAACAGTGACTGACCATCTCCACCCATGAGGATCACCAAACATCGCTCTGAGGGAAACAAATTCTTATATTGGGCATTCAGAAGAACATCACAGTCAGCCCCCACACTGTTTTCAGTCCTAACTTCCAGCCATGAAATGGAAGGAAGAGATATAGAAACTGCCTGAGAATCTAAAAGCTTGTACTTGAAGGGGAAAATGTCTTGGGAGTTCCATGGATATGGTAATTTGGAGAAAGAGAATGGAGCAGTTTATACAATATCCAGCAGTTCCTGTGCAATCGTGAAAACCTGATCTTTCCATTAAAAACATAAGATCTTTGTTTAATAATTCCAATGGAATTACTGCATTCTTAATTAACTGTCAAATGCTTTCACTGGATTACTGTATCCATGAAGATAATCTTCTAAATATCTGCGTTTAGATACAGAGTTGTGATATTTCATGTAACCTTTTACAGTCACATATACAAGACGGGATTTCAGTCAACGTTATACATCAGTAAGCTTTAACAATGATTTGTGTCCAATGGAGCTGATCTTCCTGCGTGGGCACAGCTGCTATCTAATAGCTATGGTGGGGTGGGGTGGGGTGGGGTGGGGGAGAGACACTAGCAACCTTCCTCGTTCCCAGCCAAGATCCTACACCACATATAGACATGCACTCTTGTCATACTTTCATGCCCCACTTTTCTAAAAAAAAAATTTTTTTAAAATGAAAGTATCTTCTGACCAACATGAATGCACATTGGCTACCGCCTTTTTCCGTCATTTAGTGTCCTAACGTACCTGCTGGGCTTCTCCCAGTCCTCCTCACTGAAAGTGCCATCCATAAATGGGTAACTCTTCCTGGGATCCCCAGGAGGGGTGCTGCTCTTCTGTCTGCTGGATCTCCACTCATGTGGATGAAGAGCAATACCAACAGCCTGAGGTATGTAAGTACCTACTGGAACACGATGAAGAGGGGACAGACAGACAGGAAGGATCCTGTTTTTTTAAGAAAGTCTGGTTGATACTGGTATTGGTAAAAAACAACAAACAACCCCATCTTATTATCACATCAATAGAAATGGAACCCCAAGCTTCCTGTATCAATTTTTATCATCACTGTATTGAAGTATTTTAATTGTTGGTCACCTGGAGGTTCTCCAGTCTTCAAAAGGGGGGGGGGGACGGAGACAGAAAAGGAAAAGAAAAGGAATATGTCAAAATATTCCCACCTGTTAATTATTACTTCCCTTTGGTTCGATTAATAAGACTAAGTTCTTTAAAGATTCATCACCTGTAGAGTGACTGACTTCTCACTGAGACAGAAGTCAGAGAGAGCTCACAAGGCTCTTGCTACAAAAACTGAGTCATGGTTGACTTGTTCTTCTAATAGTGGAAAATGCTGGACTATGGAAATGTTGTCCCCTATCTTAAACCAACATACAATGCAATTCTAAGTACATTTAAATCCTCCTGAGTCCATTGAAGTCAATTAGGCTTGTTCTGAGAATTGCCTCTGGTTTTGCATATTGTCCAGGTTGAAAGGATGTAGTACTGTGACCTTCAGAAATGTGCAAAGTTAACCAGGAAAGAAGGGTAACTTAAGAAAGAGTGAACAAGTGAAAAGTATCTTCTCAAACTGGCTGAACTTCTTTGGATTCAATGCATATTTGATATTAAAATCAAAAAAACTGTATTTTGAAGGCATTTGTTATGGAATAATTACACCACCACATGAATGGTGCACACAGTGCTAGAACTAGAAAACTGAGCATGTATAATTGCTGTCTCAGTTACATAATGCTGTACCCATCTGCAAGAGAAAGATGAACACAGGACAAGCCCATGAGACCACACCAGAATGCCCACCCTGTCTAGCATGTCTCCAAGAACAGCATCTTGCAACTAAACTCCCCCACCCTCTTTCTTTCTTTCTATATGTAATGGCTGAGGAAATGGTTTGCCATTTCAGACTGCACCGCTTCCCCCCCCGCCGTTTTTCGCCCGTGCGGGTGATCTCCGGCTTTTTTTTTAACGTTCGCTTTAGAGCGCTATAGCGCTATAGCAGTATAACAAAACACTCCATGTATTTCAATGGGATTGATATAATGCTATTCCATTATAGCGCTATAGCGCTATAACGCTATAAAGCAACTGTTAAAAAAAAAGCTGGAGATCGCCCGCGCGAGCGAAAAACGGTGGGAAAAAGCACATCGGAACCGGGAGAGGAAACTGAGGAGTACTTGGAAGTGGTTGACAGGTAAAACGCTTCAGCCCCATCTCCTAAACGGGACAGAAGCAATTGTGTATGAAATGACAAATATATTCCGGAGGGGAACCGGTTCTCAAACGGTTCTGTCTGAAATGACAGTCTGTTTCACTATATCTGAAGAAGTCTGCTTGCACACAAAAGCTTATACCTTGAATAAAACTTTGTTGGTGTTAAAGGTGCTACTGGACTCAAACTTTGTTCTATTCTTTCAGACCAATACGGCTACCCACCTGGATCTAGCATCTTCTCTTGTTTGCCCTGTAGCAACTAGTATTACAAACATTGCCTCTAGAGATTCTATTTAGCTACCATGGTTGACAGCACTGAATACAGACCTGTTTCCACAAGTATGTTTAATTGCATTCTAAGAAATTCAGCCAGTGGCCATCACCCTGCTTCGTAACAGTAGGACTTCTTTTTCTCCTGTGCTGATCATCATATATTAATCATCCACCATTCTGCCATTTCCCACAATGCACCTACTGCCAACTAACAAGTGATTAAAAATTATGACCACCTTCCAATTTAATACTTTATTGCCATGATACATGGCAATGAACTTTACCTCTGCAGAAATGATTTCTCCTCCCACAATTCATTACAGAATTAGATGGAGCAAACGTATTGTCTCAGAAAGGCTCAGGTCAGGTATGAGTTGGACAGTTCCTCCTATAAACCCAGGAAAGGAAGAGCAACTCACCCTGGCTTCCATAACCTGCATCAATGCCAGAACCATCCCAGGAATCCATTGCACTGTCCACACTGGGGATTGTGGTGGAATAAATCTCAGAGAGTTTGCTGGTTTTCTGAGAGTCTGTCAGGTCATCTTCTGGGTCACTTACTTCATTCATACTTGCAGACTTTTTTGGGTAAATTCCTGGAACCAAAAGAAAACTGTACAATGAGTACAAAATGCTAAACAGGCTTTTTGGCACTTGGCAGCTTATGACCAAAGAATGCTTGGCAAATATATCTTAGGGTCCAGGACTAAATGTTATGCCTCCAAAGCACAGAGGATCACATGAAAGTGCCCACTGACAGAGGCCAGGTCTTCTCCTTTAATTTAAGGGCAAAGAAAGCAATTCTACATGTGTACAAATCATGCAATCGCTATTTCTCCTACAGCAGCTTCTCCACAGTATTAGGATGATCCTAAATGTACATGCTTTCACTTAAAATAGTTAAGACTTCTTTTCTGGTAAAAGATTTTCAGATTTCAGGTTGGAGGGGGAAAAATAATAATTCTTTACTGAACACTTAAGCAAGTATTTCTTAGAAATTCGCTCTTTTCCCTCAGAACATTTTCTGAGAGAACAACAGTTCATTAAAAGAAAATAAATTGATAGCCTTCCAAAGTTAGGACAAATTAAGTGCTATCTTGAAGTGGCTGTGTAATTCTAAGTTTAGATAATTCAGTTTTTGAATTATCAAAGTAAAGTCATTTCCCTTCATTCTGGTATCTAGAGAAAAATCATATTTTGCACTGGCTGAAGGACTTGCTTGCCCATTTTGGACCTTGTAATGTCAGATTCATGCTTTCTATATGATCATTGTAGTGGTGACTGTCAAGAAATGGAATTTCTTGTTTCTTTTCTTAAACATTGATTCAAGTCTCAGTTTCAACTACTAGGCCTGAGATGAAGCTGTAAAATCTAGAATGGAAAAACATTGCTCTTATTCTTGGGAAGTTGGGCACTCTGAACTTGTGACTCTTAGATAACAGGGAGTGATGCTATGCCTACCTCAACTCCCCCTTGGGCTCTCAGAGCTATGGCACCCAGCAACCAATTAGTTGCATTCCTTTCAATCACAGTTCATGATTTACACCTGGTGGACATGGGCAGCTAGAATGCAACTATCCATTTTCACTTTAGCTTAATCTCACTTAAGTCACCTGCTTAGATCACACCATCCATTGACATAATCAATCTGAGATCTGATTGGTCTGAGGGCCCCGAGACCATGTTGGATGAAAGACATAAAGTAGTTAACTTTTTGCTTTGTTACTAAGCGTTTGGGAAGCTGAGCTTTGAGCTTCAAGCTGGATGATGTCTTACTAGTTGCTTGCTATGGGCCAGAGAACTCTGCTGCCCTGATGCCGACTTTGGACTGTCTGCTGAAAACAACCTCAGCTTCTGGAATGGTAACATTTGGTAACTTTTGAACCGATATTTTTACTGTGTAGCTAGTCTTTGAATTTAGATTTGTTATTTTTGATTCCTCACTGCCAAATTCTCTTTTGATATATTCTTGCACATTTTAATAAATTGACTTTAATCATATTTTGTGGTGTTTTGTCATTCAAGGCTTCAATCTAAATCCAGGTACCTTAACCATAGAGCTCACCTACCGGGCCAACTATTTTTTGGGTGTTAACTCATTCTGCAAGCGGTCAGTCTTGCAGGGCTGACTTTCTGGTTAAATCCCGGAAAGGGTTAGAAGCTTGCCCCTTGGCTCCTGACAGTTGGGACAGACTCAAAGGGCTGGTGGCAGTTACCAGATCAGGGTGTGTGGAGACACACTCCAAGGTTTTTGTTTGCCCTTAACAAAATCTTCCTTGGACAAGGGAGGTTCTGACAGCAACTTCTTTCTGTAGCAACTGGAAACTGTGGCAAAAAAGGCTGCCGCATCTGAATTTCAAAATAAGGGGGTACTTCACAGCTTCAGATCCTGAGGCACAGTGTTTGACTGACAAGCAAGTTGGCAGTGAAGGAATGCCTAATGTATTTCTCCAATTGGCTTTTCAGCAATTCTTTTAGAAATGCAATGCTGCATCAAAGTAAAAGTGATCGAACAGTACTAAGGGAGAAAAATATCATGTGTGGAAGAGAAGTCTAGATTGACAGTTCTGAAGATACTATTTACATTATGGGATTGAAAGAATTCTTTCTTTATAAGAGAAGCAAGACAGCTCAAAAATTGAGTCAACATCTCAAAACTGAATTTCTAATGTGTACTTGATGTGCTGATCTATACTGAGAGCCCACAATGAAACAATCACAATTTTCTACCATTTACCTAGTGATCTTATACAATATTGCCAGTAAAAGGAACAAATTGGACATTGCAGAAGGGAGACACAATCATTATTCATTAAGTTTTTTTTGTTCTTGACTGTAAAACTAGAAAGATTCTCCCAGTAATCTTTTATTGATCTGGATGGATCACCTCAGCAGGCATACATGTAATGTTTCCCCTTCACACCCCACCCCGGAAAGCACATATCTCCTGCTACAATGATCTATGCTCATTCCGGTTGGCCGGCCATCATTCATGGATGTTAGACAAAAGGAAGACGAAAAAGACAGAGAACTTACTTTCAGTTTGTTTCTTGATTTTTAACGTTACAGTCTCTCCAGCCATTTGGAGAAGATGAATGGCTTCGCTCAGTGGCTTCCCCTTAAGGCTTACGTTATTAATAGCTAATATCCGGTCTCCTACATGTATGGCTCCAGTTCTGAAGAGCAAGGAAAGAGAATTGCAGCTACTGGGCATGACCATAAATTTTATTGAAGTCAGGCACCAATTGAAACATGCCTGTTCCAATAATCCTTAGAGATATCCACGTTCAGTTAATTTATACACACCACTGTCAGCAGGGGGGGAAAGATATTAAAAAACAAGTCTATTTATCCAATGAGAGCAATTGCCTCAACTAAAATTTACAGTTGCATTGTCAATAACATTTAGTAAATGCATATAAGCTTAGGTTGCTGTTCCAGAATGATCAGCTATGTTCCGTTTGATTTTCAGTGGAGCAAATGCTCAGCTGGGTACAGAATCGTATTCTTTCTAACTGAATGGTAGAATGAAAGAATATTTGCTGCAGCCCAAGCTATAATTTGAGCAAGCTTAATCTGTCCTCCATTAGTGTTACAAGAATGATCTTCATGAAACACCATATAATACAATGGGAACTCCAGAAGCAATGCTCCTCAGCACAGTGGCCTGTTCTAATAAAGTTTGATCCAGCTTTACTAGTACACTTAGTACACATTTGGTCGAGCTTAGTACACTGAGTCGGAATTTACCAGGCAACTGCAACAGACTGAGGAACTGGCTCCTAGAGATCTGTACAATGTGGTCACAATAAGAAATCTGAGAGCAGCAAAAGCAAGCAAGCAGGAAGGAGACTTTAGGACTAACTTAAAAAAAAATCCAGCATAAGCTTTTCCGAACTAGAGGCTGTTCCTTCAGATGCATGAGGTGGAATATGACTACTTTCCTTGATCTTATTAGCATTTTGCATCATGTCATCACAAAGCTGCTCTGCTTGCATTCCATAGTCTTTTGACTTTGCCTTTTTGTAATTTCTTCCTCCATAACAAATCTGATGAAGTGGATTTTAGTCTACAAAAATTGGGCTTGAATAAATAATAATTATTTTAACAGGTTTAAAGACTCCTGCTTGTATTCACAATTATAAAAGGTTGATCTCACACAACATACGGAAGGAAATACCTGAGGTGTCTACACAAATGGTGAATCATGCCATGTCTTCCATTCAGCTAAAAACATATTCCAGCATTTCATTTTTGGGGACGCTAAAATTTACAATACTGAAAAGTGTTTTCAGCTGAATGCTTAAAAGTACCTTGAACAGGAGAAAGTCACAGCCAACTTGGGGGAATACACAGCTTGTTTGCTGTAGCCACTGAGACAAAAGAAAAGATGCCTGCTTTCCCTGTTAATTCTGATGCTCTAGGAACCAGGCATGACAGAATTTTCAAGATTTGTCCTTTAAAAGTATTTTTTTAATTTTCCTATCAGAACAGTCTCTTTGCTGAATCCTACTTCCTTTCATGAGTAAATGATTTTTGCTTACAGTTCCCACAGACAAAAGAAAATAATCTCCTTTCAGCTAAACGAAATCTTTGTCTACTGTCATTTAATCAATGTGCAAAATCTGTTGGCAATTTATTTGTTCAGCTTCTATGGATGTGGAGTTGTGTTGGTGTGTGTCTGGGGTTAACACACTGATTTCCCTAGCAATCCACTAGAGGTCAGTATGATGTCAGTCAAACACCAAAGGAACACTATTGATCCCCAAATGTTAGCACTCATCTGTGAACTATTACAATGTTCTTCATATTAAGGAAAGATCTCACTTCCATATTATAGTTTGGAACCAATAGCTGGCACAAAGGTGGCTATATGCAATTCCAGGAGTAGAACTCTTACTTAGCCAACACAGCAAAATACCCTAATCTTTCTGATCCATGACAGACTCCAGTGGTTGTAGCAGCAGCCTAGCCATTTCTACTGCACGCCTTTATCTTAGAACAAAGAGGCTTGATGTGCTTCCATTCTGTCTCTCTCACCAATGAGATAAATTATTGATACACTGATGGAAGCAGGTTTTCCCCCCTCTTTCCATTACAACATTAACTGTTACATAAATGATGTTTGTATGGCTGTTGCTGATAACCTTGTATGACAAATGAAGACAGTTATGGATGGAGCCCTGAAGCAAGAGAAGTTAATGCTCCTCTCCTGCAGGGCTCCAGCAAGGGACCCTCAAATCTCAGGGTATTCACTGCCACCTGTAGGCAAACAACCTAGAAGCTTAATCTAGCAAAGCCAACAGCAGTATAAGCAGTACTGGAATATTCCAGGCCAATTCGGACTGGTTACTCATATGCATAATTAACAAAAAGAAACACCAGTATATCAACACACATGAGAACATGGAAACACATCGTGTCAGGGTGAACTGTTTACTAGAATCCAGTAACAGATATAGTAGTTGGGCTCCCGAGAGTGCAGCAGTGAACATGTCTCTTCATGGGGATTGGATCACATAATTAATTGGCATGTCAAGAGAATTCAGCCCCAGGAGATTGCAAATCTCTCTATGATTTCCTTTGGAATGAATGGGAGTACATCATGGCAGCTTCTCTGCCAGATACTTGGGGTATATGTAGACCCAACAGCTATGCAATTAGATAATTCAAGCATTACCATCCTCATAGGTCTCCCATTTGCAACAGGCATGAACAAAATTCAGTTAATGCTTGTGAATTTGCACCATGTTCCATGCAGCATTCACAAAAGCAGCTAATGTACTAAGGACAGAGGCTGCAGCTTAGTTGTTAAAGGAAATGCTTTGCAAGCAAAAGGTTGCAGGTGCAATCCCTGGTGGCTCCAGTTGGGCCTCTTTCTGGGCTTGATGGGCCAATGGTCTGATTTGGTATAAGACAGTTCATATATGACATCAGAGGAAGAATCACATCCCTCCCCAAAGAGAATACAATATTACACTTCAAGATCTAACAAAATGTGATTTCCCTTCATTGACAGGTACCGTCTTCACTAGGGGTGTGCGCTCTGTATATACTGAGCTGAATAAATACCTGTAATAAAGGCCTATATTATTTGATTTTTATTGGGTGTGGCTACAAGGCATTTAAAGAGATTGCGGTCTCTTTAAATGCCTTTAATTCCCTTGCTGAATTGTGCCACCGCGGCGGCATGACTCAGCAAGTGAACTGAAGTCATTTAAACTTTCAGTGCCTTCCCTCACTGCGTATAATGGAGCCAAATAAATTCAGGTTTCCTGGATATTTACTCAAACACCAATACAATACCAATACTGGTATTTGGGAATATTCGGTTCGGGAATACCAATATTTTCCGGGTCCAATAGAACTGAATTGGACGAAAACTGAAAATTTTTTTTGCACACCCCTAATCTTCACATCTTTTCAAGATTACTAGCAACATACAAAAACCTGTATCTGTCTGTACCGGCATAATAAAGGGCTTATGCAAAAAACCTCTTAAGCAGCTCCAATTCATTTCTATCTGACACAGGAAACCTGCTCAATGGCTTATGCTCGTAATGCTACTGCCAGAGGACACAGCTGTCATCTCACCTTTCTGCCAGCCCTCGTTTTGTCAGGCCTGAGATGACGATTGGATCAAAAGGTTCCTCTGTCCCTGAAATGGTTATCCCCAAGGGCCCGCCGTATCTCTTCAGTTCCACTGTGTAGATGATGGCACCGGTAGTTTCTTGTTCATCTATTTGGAGGGGGGAAAAGAAGAATGCTGGGGGGAAAAAGGAAAGAAATGCTCCAACCCTATGTGAGAACTCAAAAGTATTTGCCAGCAAAATAGTTCCTGCCTTTGAATAAAAATGTAAGAACAGCCTTGCTGGATCAAACCAAATAACCCATATATTCCAGCATTCTGTTTTCCATAGAGGCCATACAAGATATTCTGTGAGTCTGCACCTGTGTGTACATATCTGCACATAAAAGGATGCACATCCACACACATTCACACACAAATACATACTAATTAAACTGAATAATAGTTCTTCACTTGTCCCTGCAATTTTATCATTACTTCTAAGAAACGTTCTAGTCTAAAGACAGCTGGATTCACAGATTTATACCAGAATTGTCCTCATCCTTCCTGATCTTCAGTTTGACCAGCTCTTCACACTGCTTTAAAATCTGTACCGCATCCTCCATTGAGCAGTTGTCGAGACGGATATTGTCTATGGCTAACAGCTTGTCCCCAGGCTCTAAGGTGCCAGTTCTGTGTTCAAAGGTATAAAAAGAGTACACTTCTGTTTACAGCACATTCCAGAGAGATAAAAGGTTTTTTCTTCTTTTCCAAGACTGCTGCAAGAATGTTGGCAGTACCTCACCTCCTAGATACAAGAGAATCTTTTCCAGTCTAATATCTGAAAATGAAGTGTGGGGAAATAAATGTTTTTACATAAACTCTGCACACATTCAAATAAATAAAGATCAGCTTGAGAATTTAGTTCATTTTTGAAGGGTATTTCCCAACTGGTGAAAAATTAAGTGCTTTTCAATATTGTGGGACGAATATCCCTAAAATTTCAGAAAATCCTGCAACTCCACATTATCTTACAGCTTGAACCCAGAAGCAACGGTAAGGGATGACAACTGCAGCTCCATTTTTTCTCCATATAAAATTCAGAGCTAGGCCAAACCACATCGGTGCATACCGTTGTTAGCAGCAGACTGCCCTACCCACCCATAGTATATTATAAGGGAAGATCATGAAAGATTGGCTAGCAGAGACTCAGCCAGACAGCAAACCCTTTTAAGGCTGGTATGTTCTTACAGCTACATAATAGAATATTAATGACAGAAGCACTCATAGTGGAATCAGGTGGGCTTATTTAAGGGGGGGGAGACAAATCCTGAAAGTTAGCATCCTTTTCATTATAAGAGATGAGGGAAAAGTTATCCTGCTCAAGCGCCTGAGGATTTAGTAAAATATGGGGAAACTTCCTACCCACCCAGGAATTCTTCATGCCCTCCCCACTTGTAAAGCCTACTTTATTAAATCTAACACTGCAGGCCATGATCAAATGTGTGTACTAGATGTCTGAAACTATTTTTGCTATGCACTATCGTGCACAAAAGATAGGGTTGCCAGCTCCAGGCTGGAAAATACCTGGAGATTTTGGGGGTGGAGCCTGAGGAGGAAAGGGTTTGGGGAGGGGATGGACTTCAGTGGGGTAGAATGCCATACAGTCCAGCTTCCAAAGTGGCCATTTTCTCCAGGTGAACTGATCTCTGTCGCCTAGAGATCAGTTGTAATCCCAGGAGATCTCCATCCACCAACTGGAGGTTGGCAACCCTAACTGAAGAAAAGGATGCAAAATGCCATGAATGTCAAAACAACTGGAAAATGTTGGGGGGCAGTCTCACAGTATTGGTTTCCAAGGGCTCAGCCACACATCTGGATCTTCTGTCCCTACAAACAGCACAGTGGGGCAGAGCTTAAACTTTTCTATTGAAGAAGATTCACTAATGGAGCGCTTTACTCACCTGTGTGCCACACTCCCCTTCTTGATATCGGAGATGATTAAAGCCTCCCCAGGTTTTCTACTTGCTGTTTCAAAAGAGAGACATGCAGTCAAAGGTCAGCTCAGGAAGCTACAAGTCCACAGAACATTCTTCAGCAGAGGTCACTTAAACATGCCCTTGCAATAAAATGTAATGAAAGATTTCCATTGAAAACTACCAATACTTCACCAAACTGAAGTACAGGCACTACATGCTTTCAGAACGGCATCCAAGAACAAAGCTTTGCATTCTGTATAAGATTGCCAGCCCCCAGGTGGGAGTGGGGGAATCCCCCGATTTTGTGGGCTCCTGCCGCTACCAGCCAGCTGGCTGGTGGGGAAGCCCTGCCCGCAATTGACACGACTTGGCACGACATCCCTAGTGTGATGTGTTCAGTTCAATTTATTGTAATTAGCCATTGGCCGTTACAAGGTTACAAAACTCTCAGCGATAAAAATACAGATTACGAACAAGGTATAGGCTAATATCAGAATATACAAAAGTACCGAAAGTCAGTAACAAGATGTGACTAATTTAATACAGTAACCTAAATAATCCCCCTTCCCGTTGCCACCTTGGAACGTATATTCTTTGCAGCAAGGGCAAATAATGAAACTTTATAAGAAGCATATGCCTCAATGTCAGATCCTCAACTGGGTATACACTAAGACCAGATAAAATACCTGCTACAAATTTAGCCCTTGGACTGGAGTACAGTGGGCAAAAGAGGGTATAATAAGTCCTCGAGTGCGTGGGTGCCACAAATACATAGACGATGTCCCAATGGAGTTTGATTAAAGCGGCCCTCCAAAATTGCCGTTGGCATTGATTGAAACTGTAGGGAAGTAAAGGATGCTCTAAGTATGTATTTGGAGATGTTTAGATATGGAGTTCTAGTATGGTCTGATTTAATTAGTTTGTACCATGGTGCTGCTTTTGATTTTAATATCAAACAGTGGTCTAGCCGGGCATCAAAGTCATAAATCCAGTTTCTAAATTGGGTTTTATCAATTGACTAGGAATAAGGACCATAGTGGAAATAAATACAATGAGCTCTAGAAAGATGCTCTGGGTGGGTGCCCCGGCCTTGGGCACTCAGTGTCAATTTGCTGTGGTGACTTCAGCAGGGTATAATGACACTGAGTCCACCATTTTCTCCAGAGGAACTGATCCTGAAGAACAGTTGTAATTTTGAGTGCTCTCCAGCTCTCACCTGGAGATTGGCAACAATGGTTCCCTATGAGGGAATGGCTGGTTTGGAGGGTGGAGTCTATGGCATTCTACCTGTCTGAGGTCCCACCCCTCCTCAAACCCCACCCTCTCCAGGCTCCACCCCTCAAATCTCCAGGAATTTCCCAACCTGGAGTTGGCAACCCTATCTCCTTCCCAGCCAACCATCAACCTACCTTTATCTGCCCCTCTGACTTCAGATTTCCATCTCCTCCCCCCTCTTCTGAAGCCTGAAGATCACCAGGTATCACAACTGAACTCCAGACAACAGATCTCCCCCCTCCAGACTGACCCCAATGAGTTCCTCACAACGGCCTGCGAAGGGTTTCCTTCCTTTGCACCAAGCTTCATTGCCCACTGTGGCAAAATAGGCTCCAGTTTACAACTCAGCTGTTCGCCTCCCACCCTTGTCCCGTGGTCCTTAAGTTCGCTGCCGCCACTCACTGAATTGTCACTTCCTTTTTAGAGGGACACTGAGACCCCTCTGGCCGAATCTCCCTATTTGGAGATGGAATCCCCAGTCTTTGGGGGATCCCTGGAAAGTTGGCAGCCCAAGGGTCTGGCCTTTCCTTGCGTCTCTGGGCTACCCCCCTCCCTTTGTTATTGTGCAGAGCGAGGGAGACTATGTGGTCAGTTATGGAGCACACACACACACTATCCCTACACACTGGCCTCTGGCTCTCTGCTCTAGCCTCTCTCTCTCTCTGGCCCAAGAGAGCAGGGAAACTTCCATTCATTCCCTAGTGCAGCCAACTGTGGAGTGGCTGAATTTCTGCTGCCTCCCAGGGTTCCCACTGTGGCCTGGACAGCCTGGTCAGCACAGGCAGCAGGAGCCTTTCCTAACCTCCTGTAGGACGAAGACGGCCTCCTCCCTGGATGGCCTGGAGTCTATATTGATGCTGCCCTGCCCCTTGGGACAGTCCCTCTTTTCCCGCTCTTTTTGGCCTTGGGGCAGCTGGGAATTGTAGTCTGCAGCAATTTTTGCACAGTTTCCATTTTGTGTTTTGCTTTACTGAGGGAATTGTAGTCCAGCCGATGAGGAAGCCCTATTCAACCCAGTGAGTGATACTACTACAGGCCCCTCTCTGGAACTACAGCTCAATTAAACCTTATGGCGGAACATTTTAAACTAACACAAGTAACTGCCATTTCGTTACACCTACCAACAGCCACTGAGGGAAACGTTACTCCCACACAGGAGGAAAGCAGAGAAGCGTCTTCATCAAGAGAGAAAGCCAGGCAGAGTGGCTGAAGGGGGAGTGGGCGGGGAAAAGAAGCAAACCCAGCACCCAGCCAATGGCATGCGAGTACTCTTGAGTGGCAGCTGATGGGCCAATGGCTGAGGGAGAGCATTTTACAGCCAATGGGAGCGCATGGAATGTCGCCACTTTAAAACAGCATTATTATAGAGAGAGATGTTCCCAAAAGATCATCGGGGATGGAGTATCTTGAATGAATGTTGTTAAGAAAATCACGGCACTATGAATCTTTGGCTAACAGCAGGTTAAATATTTGGTGACTGAGGGAGTTAGTTTGTGAGTTTTCCATTCTTTTCCAGTATCTAATAATTATAAGGTGTGCCAGAGCCTTAAGAGCAGGGATACCAGTTTCAGCTCTCATCAGAGCAGCTGGAGACCACTTAGGGAGAGCTAAAATGCACCTTAAAAATGATTTTGGACTACTTCAAGGCTGGCCAAGAGGGTGTCATTCCATCCCCATACTTCGACTCCATACAAGAGATGAGGTATAACCTTACTCTTTTATCGTTTCAGAACAGGGTCTATAAGGCGACCTCCCTTGGAGTAGTAAAAGCTCAGGATAGACCCAACCAGTCTTAGTGCTGACAATTTGACTGCTGCAAAATGGATGGACCAGTTTAGAGTCTCTCTAAAAGTTATGCCAAGGTATTTAAATGAATGACACTGTTTAATTGGATTTCCAAGAATACTCCAAGAGGAGATCTTTGCCCTGTTCCTAAAAACCATGACCTTAGTCTTATCAAAATTAATAGCGAGAGCTTCTTCTTTACAGTAGGTCCCTAGTTGGTGCTGGAGAGGCAAGCGGAGGGGAGGGTCCACTGCCGCTGGCTTTGCAGGGAGCCCGGGGGGGTGTCCCACCCACCTTTCGCCCATTCACCCCCTTTTGCAAGCCGGTGGCGCTTTTAAAAAAAGGAACGAGGAGCGAGGCCCAACTCTCTGCACGGATGCCGTTGCATTGAGAGCCCTCTTGGACTTACAATATACTCTTGCTTCACGAGGGTAGAGGAGCGAAGAAATCCAAAGAGAGGAGAGGGACCAAACAGCGCTATTCCATGGTGGTTTTTGTTCTCTGACGGGATCCTTTGGAATCCTTATTTTTTTCTCCTCTCCTGATTAGTTTTGTTGACCTTGTTCTTCCAAACAACCATAGAGTTTTCCCTCGGATGACTGTGGCCCCGCCCCCAGCATGCCCGGTGGTGTCACGTCACTTCTGGGTGACGCGCACGTTGGGGTGGGGCTCCCTCCGGGGCCCGATCCGCCGGCGGTGGGGAATGGGCCTCTGGGGCAGGGATTTCCCCGCCCCCCGGGGGGACTTGGCAAGCCTATGTAGTAGATTCAGGTGGGTAGCCATGTTGGTTTGAAGCAGCAGAACAAAGTTTGAGCCCAATGGCACCTTTAGGACCAACAAAGTTTTGTTTAAGGTGTAAGCTTTCACGTGCAAGCACACTTCCTCGGTCACACTGAAACAAAATTTCTCCAAGCCTTACATACAGGGGGGGGGGGGTTGAAGTGTTAGGAAGGACCAGTGAGAGTTAAGATGCATAAGTGAACATTCATTGGTCTTGCTGCCTTGATCCAATGTCAGCTTCACTTATGCATCTTAACTCTCACTGGTCCTTCCTGATACTTCCACACAAACACCCTTCCTGTATGTAAGGCCTGAAGAAATTTTGTTTCAATGTGTCCGAGGAAGTGTGCTTGCATGCGAAAGCTTACACCTTAAATAAAACTTTGTTGATCTTAACGGTGCCACTGGACTCAAACTTTGTTCATGTGGTGTAACCATAGGGCATTTGAATGGGACCGAGAACACCCAAATTTAAATTCTCACTTGCCATGAAACTCAGGCCTAAACTACACAACATGTTTTGCCCAGAAGAGTTAGGATTCTCCCAACCGAACTGGCATTCCCTATATCCAGATGGCAGCTGAAGAGAACTTAATTCCGAAGCACCTCAGGGCCCAATTCAGATCAGGGCCATGGCACAAAGCAGGGGAAATGCTTTAGTTTTCCATCCATGCCATTGTCCTGATCCAAAGCCACACTAGGAGCACTTTCTGCCTATTGCGCAGTCCTCCAATAGCTCAAACTAGCCCAAGCCTATCAGAGCTCAGAAGCTAAGCAGGGTCAGCCACGGTTAGTACTTGGATGGGAGATTGCATTGCAGAGGCAGGCAATGGCAAACCACCTCTGCTCATCTCTTGCCTTGAAAACCTCACGAAGGGTCAGCATAAGTCTGTTGTGACTTGACAGTTAATATTATTAGGCTGCCTTGGGTCGGGAAAATGGTATGGGGGAGACTGAAGCCTCTTCTCCCTCCAGTGCCATAGGCCTGTTCCAAACTAAGCCCTGCAGTACTTTGGAAATAAGGTCCCTGCAGCTGCCATCTGGCTATGGGGAATGAGAGTCGGGTTGGGGGGACCCTGACCCAACTCATGGCGAAACATGTTGTGTAGTTTGGGCCTCAGTAGATGATAGTGTTGCCAGGTCCCTCGAAGCAGCTGGCAGAGGATGGGGAGTACACTTACTGGGAGTGGGGAGGAACGCCAGAAATTA